GTACGTTTTTCTCATTTGATATATTTGGAGAGGATTTTGCCGGTTCGTACGGTCCTGTTGTGGATGGCTTCATTTCTGTGTGCTATAACAAGCCCCGGAGTTCAAGACACATACTATATAATTAACAAAATAAACTACTATCTTTTAACTTAGAACTATCGACCACTATTGACCTAACAGAGGCTTTCAATAAATTGGGGAAAACCAATACGACCTCTTACCCAGGTGTCGTGATAGGGTTATACTTGAGATGCTGGTGTCGAACGCAATCCCCGCCCTGCTCTCCTAAGTTAAGTTCAACTTGGGTTGTCTTCGCTCTAGATGCATTCACTCTTTTCAAGGAGCTCTACCAACCCAGTCCAAACTCACATCGACTAAATTCACGTCAGGTTCGCTTTCATTTGTTCCCACGTTAAACTAGTAGCTTAGGTTGCTTCAGCAATGGAAAGCGAGTTTCTATTATGCCCCCCGATATTCCACGGCCGAGGACACACCATAATAGCTATGGTGAGAATAGACTTCGAGTGAAACAGTTCGATCCCAAAATTGTCGAGGACGAAGCTCCCCTCCAGAGAAACGCCACGATGCGTCACTGCACTATTCGCGTGGGTAGCCCCCACCATTCCCAGTCGGGTCCCACGAAAATTAGCGCATCGCGCAGCGCAGCATTACCCGCCTCCGTCGGTCATTCTCCCTCTTCTCTCTATCTCTCTGTCTCTCTCGGAACTTCCATCTTGTTCTCCTCCCGCCGTGTCCCTTGTATTCTTCTTCCTTCAGATTCACTATAACGCCAACCCTAATGCGCGTCCATATAGCAGGGTGGATCCCTGCTATTCCTCATCTCTCTCTGTGTCACACCCTTACTTGGTCCCTTCTCTCGTATCTCACACCTTCCTTCTATACCTTCTCTCCTCCCTCTTACGACGTACTCACACGTGCAGTATCTCAAATGTATTTGGTGATATTCAAGGCCATACCTGGATGTATCTGGTCGCAATTCCCTCTAAAAATACGTAAAAAAGTCCTAGTGCGAGTACGCCCTTCATCTCTTCGAGGTCCAATACCCGATGTCTGCAGCTACGTCCAAAACTACAAATTCGAACGATGCGGATGATATCGAACGAAACTCCTGCCGTGGTCCTCTCGCTCCAGTATTCCCTCCGGCCAGACACGCCTGCCGTCACTGGCGGCCCGCACTTGGTCCCAACGCAAAACTTACGGACTGTCGGTGGAACCCTGGTGGTCGGGCCCACTGTTTCAACCTCTGGGATGTGGGCGACCAAGGTGGAACAGTATAACCAGCATCGTGCCTTACCAATTGAGGTAGGCCGTTGTACGAACGAAATTTCATGAGTTTATTTATTTATTTTTGTCTTTTATTTATTTATTTATTTTTTATTTATTATTTTTTTTTTTTAAGGCTAATTCTTTGAAGCCCAACCAATTGAATTACCTGTCAAATCTGGACAGGACAGCCTTTCAGGCCTTTTTTTTATTGTCATTATAGTATTACGGGGAACCCTGTAGCAGCCACAACCGTGCTCAAGCCTCCAACGAGGGAACATGCGGGAGCTGCACCCACCAGCAAGTGCGATACCTGCTACAGCAGGTGGGCGATACCGGCCAGGGGTCAGCCGGTAGCATCAGGACCGAGCTTCTTCGATGGGTCAGTCACTTTGCCTCCCCTCCGGTCCCCTCCCCCTATGAACATCTGCAGTCTTTGCTCAATGCCACTCGGGGAGACCAACGACATATCTCTAGGTGGCGGGCGCCAAGCTTGCTCAGGAAGGTACATGAGGCCAATGGGGATTGAACCCAAGACCTCCTGAATGTCACTCGCGTGCCTTATCAACTGAGTTACGTACGAGATGATATCTCAAAAAAAAAAAAAAATCCAGCGGCCTACTAGGCTACCAGAGTGGCCCGGGTCCACTTGCCCGCCCGGGTCAAAAAGAACTAAAAAAAAATAAAAATAACAATTATTTTTTAATTTTTTTTTTTTTTTTTAATTTGGTAAAAAATTTTGATGTGACCCTAAGGC